TAAAGGGTGTGGGGAGCGAGCAGGGGAGTGGGATTAAATTAGATAGCTCATGTTGGATAAAAATACCAGCACAGATTTGATGGACTGAATGTCTTATTTGTCGTCTGAAGCATTCTATGATTCCAGATAGAAAGAACAAGTGGATTTCTTGTTATCTACCCTTCCGTAAATGTCTTTTGAGTGTCTTTAAACATCAGCATTTGTTACAACATACATATGTCTAGAAGACGTGAAAAGCTCTAGGAATATTGCAAGGATTATTATTATTATTGCAACTGCTTTGAGATGGAGATTGCGTTATGCCATATTGTGCTGTAACACAATCAAACTCCTCCGATTGGGACTGCAAAACGGTCATTTTAAACCCTGAGATTAGATTGCAGCCTGTAACTCCAAATTTGAAAAATCATTTTATAATGTGTCACAGTCAGTTTGTTTTTATATAGTGGATAGGTTAGGCAACTTTACAGAAGAAATTATTTCATACAATATATAAAGTGAGTGGGATCAGATTTTGTACTTAAAATGGCCTCAGTGCACCAACAACATATAGCTGTGAAATTAAAGTTTCACACTTAATTAACATCAAAGTGCCATGATGCTGGTGGCTGTTGTATGGTGTAAAATATTGGGGAGTGGGAGAACAGTATATGCTTTGTGACCTGAATTTTCCAGTGTATTGCACCATGCAACTGGAAGAACTACAAAATAACTTCAGGAGAATGATTCCGATTGAATAATCGAGACTGGTCAGTTCTGACATTTAGAAAGGAATTGAGTAAGCATGAGTAAGAATGAGTAAAACTACAGCATATGGGCAAATAACAGGGATTGAGTTTAGAGCATTTCATTAGGACTTCTGAATATAACATTGTGCTCCTTCGAAGACACGTTAAACCGAGGTCCCTAAGATCCCTGGCATTATTCGGAAAGAGAAGAGAATTTCTCCTGGTGTCCTGGCTAACATGTCGGTGTTTGTGGAACAATGCTGTGTGAACTTGTGCTGCCAAGTTTGACCACAGACACTTTATTTCACAGTAAATCCTGTGAAGTGCTTTGAGATGTCCTTCTGACTTGATAAGGCACTATACCAAATGGAAGGATTATTAATAGTCCTCGCAATTTGGATATAGCGCTTTATAATGTCATTGAGATGTCCTTATTATTATTTTATTATTGCGCTCAGATCTGGTTGTTAGTAGAGTAGTTCAAATCTGAGCAGATCCCTCTAATAAATTTATTTATTTTTACACTGGTTGCCACAGCTTTCTAATAAAGCGATTTTCCTGATATTATAATAATTTTTGCATTTGATATAGTGCCTTATCATGTAGCTAAGACCCCACAAAATGCTTCACATGATTTACTGTAAAGTGGCACTGTATTGTTTTGTGAACAAAATTATTCTTGTGTCGAATTGGGAATTACAATGACAACAAATTGCATTTATACAGTGCCTTTCACATTGAAAGGACATCCCAAGGCACTGGACAGTTGAAGATTAGCTCCATACTGGGACTTTGAGTTCACAGTCTAGATTGACATTCCAATGTCCAGAGAGTACTGCATTGTTGGAGGTACCTTTCTTCAGATGAGATGTTAAACTGAATTCTACCTATTCAGGTAGATCCTGTGGCACTTTTCAAATAGAGAAGGGATTTTGTCCAATGTCCTGGCCAACAATCCCCCAGATAAAATTGGAGGAAAACTTATTTGGCTGTTGTGGGTCACTGCTTTAATAATCCTTGCATTTGATATGGCGCCTCATATTGTAAAAACATTTCAAAGTGCTTCACACGATGTACTGTGAAGTGGTTTGACTGTCTTTTGTGGGTGAAATGTAGCAGCCAGTTGCGCATAGCAGCGTCTCACCAAAACCAATGGAGTGAGTGACCAATTTTATTTGAGGGATTTGTTGGCCAGGACATTGGGAGAAACCCGATTCTCTTTTCGAATAGTGCCATGGGATATTTATTGTTCAACTGAACAGGCAGATGGGACCTTGGTTTAATGTCTCATCTAAATGATGGCACCTCTGACAATGCAATACATCCCACAGTGTAATTGTGCTGATCAGCACACTGCCTGCACTCATTGGGCACTCCTGCTTCCTTCACAATCCGGAGCACAATTATGCATGACCAGCGCATGCTGAAGCACTCCGAGATACCATCCCACGTGAAGCTTACTTTGTAAAATTATTATCGTTGTTGAATCTTAAGTGCACAATCTTGAGTAGTATCCTCAAAGTGCAGTGGCACTGTTATCCTTTTCGAGGCGCAACATTTCTCATGGAGTGTCGCTTAGACTATGCGATTCTAAGTCACAATGTGGAGCTTGAACCCACAACCTTCTGACTCAGTGGAAAGAGTGATACCACTGGGCCAGGCTGACACAGTTTGCGCTTTGCGTAAATTGTTTGCCTTGTTAGGTTACAAACTACAGAGTTACTACGCTTTACAGTAAATCCCATGAAGAGCTTTGAGGTAACCGTTTGACATGAAAAGCACTGTATCAACTGCAAGGATGTTTTTTTACGCGACGGCCTTAGTAATATGCTTAAATTGTGCTGATCAGTTACACTGCCTGCACTCATTGGGCACTCCTGCTTCCTTCACAATCCGGAGCACAATTATGCATGACCAGCGCATGCTGAAGCACTCCGAGATACCATCCCACGTGAAGCTTACTTTGTAAAATTATTATCGTTGTTGAATCTTAAGGAGCGAGTGCACAATCTGAGTAGTATCCTCAAAGTGCAGTGGCACTATTATTCTTTTCGAGGCTCAACATTTCTCATGGTCTTAGCCTAAGACCTTTGCTTTAAAATTGCAGGCAAGGTTTGGAAATTTCTTAAATTGAATGTTAATTGGAAGCTGCTTTAAGACCTGTATAAAACTAGCTTAGAAATTCAGGTTCAATTTAACAATTTTTCAAAATTCTCGTAAGCTTAACTTTTATGAGAAGGTCCTAAGTTTAAAACTGTGAGAACTTTTTGTGTCTCTAATGTTGTAGATTCTGTGGTATTGTGTTAACTGGAACGAGTGGATGGGTGTAAAGGGCAGAACCCCCAGAACACACTTTTGCTTCAGACTACTATACTGGTTAGATGCCTTCGTTAAGCTTGATAACGTATGGTAGGTCTACACTTGAATTTTAGTGCTACCTTTGCCCTGAAAGTGATGTGAACAGGATACTGGACATTAAATACTAACAGGCTCATCAAAGAGTAAGTAAAATTTGGAAGAACTCATCAGGCCTACATTTCACTGTTTGTCCACTAGGTGAAGCTGGTATGACGTGGGAAACTAAACCTCTGTCTTCCTTGTTGCATTTGAGAAATTTAGGGAGGTGTGACTGTCTAATCTACTTCTGAGAATAATGTGTAACAGTAACATTTCCAGATACTGATTATAGTAAATCTAAGTTGAGTGAAGTAATTTTCCATCATTAGACAATAATAAGAGTAAGGTACCAGAAGGGGATTACTGTGCGGGGATTACTTTTTCTTTGTGTCTGTAGCACAGTTAATGTACTATAACACAGTACCATATTACAAGTCCCAATTGCAGCTTCAGTGCACCAATGGGACCTGAATTTTAGCAGTAATCCCAAAATCCACAATTACCACAGCATCAGACGGATTACTAAAAATAGTCTCCAACCACGGTAATCTGTCTGGATTACTGCATTTGTGAAATTGCCAGCATTTAAAGACATTTTATAGAGAGTGATTTTTAAAAAAAAAATTATCCTGAATACAGTTCTGATCTATCCGGCAAATGATACTTTGCGATATGTTTGCAACCACACATGTATTTGGGAGCAGTCTGAGCAAAGCAGTTATTTGTGATATAAATATCACAACCTAAAATACTGCCAGTGGATCTCAAATAAAGCAGGCAATTTGATTGAGGCAAGTCTCAATTTAGGAATCCAGCTGTTTAGTATGTCTATTTCTCCTGTATTATATATTTGCAAAAGTATTAATTCCCCCATTAGCAAATAAAACCTTTTAATTTGCTCCAAAATGCTCCAGTAACCAAAATTAATTACGTACAGGTTTTGTTGAACACGACATTTAAATCTTGATGGTAGGCACAAACGTGTAAATTAAAGAATCTTAAGGACGTGCTGCAAAAATTGTGCATATCTTCCAGTTCCACAGACACAGCCGGGATAAAATTAAATCTCAATGGCAATAAATCTGAAATCTTAATGCTTTGATGATGGGAGAAATTGCATAATTATTTTTAAATTTCAGAATTTTAGGCAGTTTTATTTTTATTTTGGAAATGCCTCCTATTTTGGCTTAATTATTTTGTATATCAGCTGTGATGCAGCTTCTATCATCGTCGTGTTTCAGTGCTAGAGAATAGCATTTGAAATGATATTTCTTAACCCTTGCACTGATTCTGAATTCAATGCAATGGTTCTCACATGTGGCGATAGTTATATTTTGCTGACTGACTTGTTAATTTAATGGAAACACTGGTATGATTTTTTAAAAAATGGGTTACTGGTCACTCGTAATTTGATAATAATAATAATAATAATCCTTGCATTTGATATAGCGCTTTTTGATGCACTCTTGGTTTAACTTAAACATTGCAAAGTTAATTGTGAAATGAAAAACAATTATAAAACTGACTGATCACAATTCATAATTCAAAGTTTGGTTTACCTGAGTTTCAACACACAAGAGTACATTGGGTGCTACAGTTACTGAGCCGATAGAGAGTGCGGCTGAGATGGAGATGAAAATAGAAGGAAGAGTGCCAGACTTTGGGAGTGTGGGTTTTTGATGGACCGGCATCAATGGTGGGAGTGGGGGACATGCAACAAGCCTGAGTTTACCGCCAAAAAACTCTTTAACTGGCACCTAAATTCTGTGTTATGGATTTGTGTGTTCTGAAAGCGCTCTGAGACACTGCCTCGTGTGAAGGGTGCTATATAAATGCAAGTTGTTGTTTTATGTTGATTTATTTTTATGTTTCCAGGAGAACAATGTGCTGTAAACATGTTTCCGCTGTTTTTACTGGATAATGGCATCTCGGCTGCACAACTGGGATTCTGGAATGGAATGCTTGGAATGGCTTTCTCTATTTTTGGATCGTGCCTTTGTGGTGCATTAATGGCTAAATATAAGTAAGTTCATAAAATTATTAATTTCATTCACATACTAGATATGGAGTATATAAATCACCTTCATAATTACATTTGGTGTCGGACGTATTCCAGCTAACTAGTTATCAGCTGCACTAAGATTGTGTTTGGAAACATTGTGGTGAAATTTACATTGATCACATCAAAAGGGTGAAGTTAGAGAAGCCAGGTCTTTGGACTTTCAGCTTACGGATCATGGCTTTCAGCTGCAAGGTATTGGGATATCAGATCTTTGAGCTGTTTGCTGCTTTCCGCAAACTGCCAGCCAAAGATTGCAGTCTACAAACTGAAAGTTCGCCATTGTGGACTTGGCTTTTCTAACAACGCTGTTGAGCAGCCTCGGGGAGGGTTCACCTGCAGCCCTTTTAATATCGTAAATATGACATAGCCTGCAGTATTTCAACCCTTTGTTATCAATTTGAAAATCTCTTCCTTCCCGTTCCTTGACAACATTGGATAATTCGGCAATTCTGTTTGAATATTGAACACTAATTAATATGGCTTTTGGACAGTTTTGTGAATACAGGCTGGTCCTGTTATAACAGAGTAGTTGAGATCTATAGAATTAGACTCCACATTATAACAGATTCAAGAAATACTGGCCACCTGTCTGGCCTCCGGATTGTCAGGTCATCACTTCCAGTCAGTCAGCTTCCAGTGCGTAGTCAGCAGTCCGCACTGGATGTGCACCACATTTCTGCAACCTTGAGTCCACACTGGAGTCACATTTTAGTGGCTTTGCGTTCTAGAGAGACGCCTTACAACTATTAAGTTGTCCTGTGTGAAGTGGGCTATATAAATGCAAGTTGTTGTTGTTGGATTGCAATTTAGATTCCATTATGGGTCACTTTGATGTTTTTAATATGGACGAGATTGATTTGCTAGCAGAAAGAATTGAAAATGAAACATTTTGTATTTCCCTTCCTTTGTGTTTAAGAGAAGTGTAAGTGACCTTTTCTTGTTCTCTGCCTGAAATTAAACTTGATGTGACTGACTCGCAATCCTCTTTCTAATCCTGTCCCTGGGCTCTCTTGATGCTTTAGCCAAGAACAGGAACTCTGTTCTGCTATGCTGGATGATAGTGGGCACGAACCTCCACACTGTGTCACGTCCTCTATCATAAATGGTAACATTTACTTTATAGTCATTTCACATATTTTTTTAATAACATTAAATTGTCAAAGAAGTGCAGCCCTTGCCTACACCAGCCTGCCAGCCCGATTGGCAGTGTATCAGTGCTGGAGTTGTTGTTGCACGTCCCCACATGCTGCTTGCACTTTGTACAGAGGACAGCTCAGCTCTCACGAGCTGGAATGTTTACTGTGAAGAAAGGATGCACTGTATTCCTGGACCTCAAACAAACAAATCCCTTTGGATTCATGTGAAATAGAAAATACTTTTCGGCTAAAAGGCAAATCACCATTTAGAAATGTTTCTTCTTAATTTGGGACATATTGTTGCAGTTATGGCATTGAACTGGTGCTTGCTTTTTTTTACACAGCATTGTGTAAGAGCAGAGGTGGTGGGAACTAATCAGACTCTAAAATAAACAAAGGTCTGGTATCATTGACTATTTGAGGATATGCCATGTAAAAGACATATTTTAAATGTTTTTTTAAAAAAAACCTGATCCTAAATGTGCCAAATGTGAGCCTTGCTGATTTTTTTTTAATATTTACGAAAGCTAATTTTAAACAATTCAAGGTTGGATTGCCCCTTTAAATATGTAGTTCATGAGCTGATGTACATTTCTACCTAGTTTGCTTTTAAAATGTAATAATAATAATCCTGCATTTGATATAGCTCCTTATCAAGTCATTGAGACGTCTCAAAGCATTTCACAGAATATACTGTAAAGTGGATCGACTGTGTATTTTGTGGGTGAAATGTGACAGCTAATTGCGCACAGCAGTGTCCCACAAACAGTCACAGATTGAATGACTAAATTAGGTCTACAGAAAATACAGAAAAATTCTACACTTTACGTAATGAGCTTTGTGACATCCTTTTGACGTGAAAGGTGTTATATCAAATGCAAGGATTTTTCAGGAGAGCTGCACAGTTTTATAATTCTAAAATACTGGGTAATGCACTGGGTGAGGAAAAGTTACTTTAACCTCTGGCACCTCAGCTCCATTTCAACCCAAAATGCTAGTAACAAAGTTTCTCTGACTTAATGACAGTAAGAGTCTGAAGTGAAATTCATTTGGAAAGGCTTAGTATAGTCCATTATGTGTGTGAGTTTTGCAGCATAAAACTGGCTTTAATGGCCCTAAATATGCATTCTGCCTCAAAGTAAGTAAGTGAGTTGGTGTAGGAAATCAAAATGTCACACTGGTGCAGCAGGGGATGCATAATTAAGTTTGTACGAACGAACAATTGATGAAACAGAGTGAAAGGCACATCATATCCAACCAGTACTTTAATCGATGTTGACACTGCATGCAAATAGTAGAAGAGTGCTTGATTTTTATCTTGATGAGAATATTTACACCAAAAAAACTGCATAAATGCAAAGCTCATAAACTCATCATGTTCAAGAGAGAAACTAATAATAAGTTAACCCATCCTGGACACATTTGATTTGCATCAGTTGCAAGATTGCAAGAGTTGGAAACTAAATGGTTAACTCATGAATGAATTGTTGAAAGTTATAAGGTGAAAGACACTTGCACCTACAACTGCAGTATTAATTCTGTGCAGTTGTTCTGAGTGTACTATGAAGCATATGACCATTATACTATTAATTAATCAGTTACTCTGGACCCTGGGGAAATGCATCACATGCATCAGAATGTCACTCTTCAAGGGAAGACAATTTAAGTAGAGTATGTGAAGGTTAACCTAGTAGTCGCTTTTTAGAGAGAGAAAAAAACAATTGGGGAGCGTGTAACAGCAGGGTGCTAAGATTAGTTTTTCTTTCAGTGATATAAGCTAAATGGTTTTCATTGTTTTCATGCATTGTGTTTCAAAATAAATGGATTTCTGAGGTTAGGCAATAAATCTAAGCCATTATACGATTAAAAAAAAGTAGGTCAGGCCTAACAAATTTATTGGAATTCTTTGTGGATGTAACCGAATTGGTGGAGAGTGGTAATATGGGGCATGTTATGTCTCTTGGCTTTCATAAGGCATTTGATAAAGTGCCACGGAAAAGACGCGTTTCTAACGCAAAAGATCATGGCATAAAGAGAGCAATAAATTGGAAAGTAAATTGGCTGAATAATAGGAAACAAAGGGTGATGATAATCAATATACTTTCAGATTTGCTAGCTTGTGAAGGGCAAGTTTAGAATGGACACCAGGAAGTATTTCTTTGCACAGAGATTAACAACATCTACATTGGGTGACTGAGAAGGGGACACCACTATTTAAGATACAGCTTGAAACTGAAATGGGAAGATGGTGAAGTTGGTACTTTGGAAGAATGAGATCAAATGTTTTGATCTTGTGAAACGCAAAGCTTATTATTTTTCTAATAATGATAATTGCTAATATTTACCATTGGATGTTCAACATCCATTTGAACAAGCAGGCTTGGTTTAATGTCTCATTCGAAGGATGGCACCTCTGACAATGCAGCATTGGATTGAAATGTCAACTCATAGTCCTGACATGAAGTTCAACCCTGCAATCTCCTGACTCAAACATGAAAGTGCAATGAATTGAGCCCAGGCTAACACCGATATATTTTAAATCAACAAATGGTTGTTCTGGTTATTTAGATTGCAGGATGCTTGTTATACTTTGTTTCCTTATTCAAATTGTTATGGCACTTGAGAATAAAATGAGAGGGCTGGAATCAAATCCACACACCATGATTTCAGTACTGATCTAATCTGATTTGGGGATCATTGTTTAGGATGACATTTAAATCCAACCTCATTGTCTTTTGTTAACATATTATTACAACAACAACAACAAGATTCCATTTATTGAGCGCCTTTCACGTCGGGAGGACGTCCCAAGGTGCTGTTCAGTTGGGTCGGGACCAGAGCAGGGGGGAAATGGTCAGGGTGAGGGGAGGGAAGGGAGGGAGCGAGGAGGGGGTAGAGAGTCGAGAGGGGAGCTGAAGGCACGGTCAAAGAGAAAGGTCTTAAGACCGGCCTTGAAGGAGGAAAGGGAGGAAGCAAGGCGAAGGCACTGGGGGATAGAGTTCCAGAGCGTCGGGGCTGAGAGGCTGAAGGCCCGGCCACCGATGGTAGGGCGGTTGGGGCGGGGGATGTGGAGCAGACCGGAGCCAGAGGAACGGAGGGTATGGGCAGGTAGGTAGGGGGATAGTAGGTCGGAGAGGTAGGAGGGAGCAAGGCCGTGAATGGCCTTGTAGGTGAGGATGAGGATCTTGAATTACATTTGTAAAGCCCTTTTCACGTTGGGAGGACGTCCCGAGGAACTCTGGCCTTGGCATTTAACACTGTCCTATAATCTTGTGTGATCTTTCAACGATCATTGTACTCCCAAAATAACATCCAGGTTCCTACATGCCAGTTGAGTCTGACTTAAGACCAGGGAATTCTTGGTTTGGAGGTACACTTGGCCTTTCACCCTTTCAAGGTGGATAAAATGTAATAATATTTTCCTTTGAGGGGGAGATAGAGAGGGTACCCCTGAAGAGACTTTGCTTTGAAAAGACATGCTTATCAAAACTGGCTCTGCAGTAACTTGAGGCAGGCTTGTCCAAAACATTGCATGTGAAAGCTGGTCCCGGCTGGATAAATACCTGGCTCCTATGGACAAGGAAGTTAAAGCAAAGCCATTCCAGGAGAAATATTCATTGTAGAATGGAGCCAAATAACAGATAATTGGCACTCAGTGGACAATTGCATCAAAAGTGGTCGCATGATGGCTGATGTGAGAAGTGAAAAATGCCACTGGTCAGGACTGAGGCATTTTGTTGGAGTCGAATGGGGGAAACTTTCCTTTGTGTTTAATTATTCTATTTGTCTTGGGAGTGCTTCATGCAGACCAACAGCGTTATATTC